GTCCACCCGTCATTCATCCAGTCTGTCGGTCTGTCTGTCTGACAGCCACTCTGTCTATCTGTTTCACCCCTTTTGTCCGAGTGCTTTACAACGACGTTCGGCAGCAGCAACAGCAGCAGCAGCAGCAACAGCAGCAGCAACAGCAGCAGCAACAGCAGCCCTTAGCTTTGAGTGTCTGTCTACCTGTCATTCATTCAGTCTGTCGGTCTGTCTGTCTGACAGCCACTCTGTCCATCTGTTTCACCCCTTTTGTCCGAGTGCTTTACAACGACGTTTGGCAGCAGCAACAGCAGCAACAGCAGCAGCAACAGCAGCAGCAGCCCTTAGCTTTGAGTGTCTGTCCACCCGTCATTCATTCAGTCTGTCTGTCTGTCAGCCACTCTGTCCATCTGTTTCACCCCTTTTGTCCGAGTGCTTTACAACGAATTTCAGCAGCAGCATCTCTTAGCTTTGACTGCCTGTTCGCCCGTCTGTCTGTGTCAGTCTCTCTGTCCATCTGTCTGTTTGTCTATCCGTCTGTCGGTCTAATCTAAACTTGGAAAAACAGTCCACATGACCACGGGAAGGGAGGCACGAAAACTCCAAATATGCAGCAGGCGTCAGGGTCGGGATTGAACCCACGACCTCCTGTAGACCAGGCGAGGTGGATAACATCTTGCCACCACGGCGCCCCATTTTTCTGCGAATCCTCCCGTCCACGTGTTTGTTTGTCTGTCCGCCAATCTGTCTGTCTTACTGTCCGTCTGTTTGTCTGTGTGTCCAACTCTTTGTTTTGCCTGTGTGTCCGCATGTCTGTCTGTCTGTGTGTGTCCGTCTGGGGATTGGTAGTGTAGCTGTCAACGCTACGCTGCGCTATGAACCCGGCGTCCCGGGTTCGATTCCCGCTCACGCCCAGCACCATCGGCGATTATCTGAACCAGTCATGGGCCTCCCCTAGGTCGACTCGGCCTCAAACGAGTACCCGGTGAGGTGTGTAAACATCGCCACTGGGGAGACAAAGGCGTCTGGGCGTGGTGCTGGCCACCCACTTTCCTCGTGTGGCTTTTCCGGCCTTCATAGATGCTACTCACTAACAGCACTTGCTCCAACAGTCTGTGAGAGGCTATACGGGGGGATCTTTGTGTCCGTCTGTCTCAATTTGAAATAACACATTCTCCTGCGGAGGTAGCTGGTAGGAACGTTGGGTTGCTCGGTCAATGGCCAGGGTCAACGGCGGCACCTCGTGGTGTGTTCAGCACAATATGCCCGACTGTGAGGGCGGGCACAAGCCGGCGTGAGTAGGTGAAACGTTGAGTTTTATAAGGGGGGCACCACGGGGTGACCAGCCCCTCCCCACCCAGCTCCACCCCTCCCACCCCCCACCCAGCCCCACCCTCCCCTCCCCACCCTCCCCAGCCCCTCCCCACCCTCCCCACCCAGCCCCACCCCTCCCATTTTATCCGGGTGTCCGGATACACGTGGACAGACATCCACAGACATACACAATTAATCCCCTGCCTCTTGTGAGAATTAATCCCGTTTGGGCTTCCAGTCCACTACGTTTCCTACCAGTATCATTTCATTAGAATTTCCTTTTTTGTGTTGAGTTTGTTGTTGTTCTCCCGCACCACCTGTTAGCCGCGGTGAACTACGCACGGTGCGAATTGAAGTTCAGAAACCAAGACAAAGTTCCCCCGTATAGCCTGTACAAAAAAAACTGTCGGGGCAAGTGCTGTTAGCGAGCACCCATGAAGGCTGGCTCGGCACGAGAGGAGGGTGGGGTGGGTGGCCAGCAGCACCACGCCCGACCGCCTTTGTCTCCCCAGTGGCGATGTTTACCACACGCCGCACCAGGTACTCATTTGAAGGCCGAGTCGACCTAGGGGAGGCCCGTGACCGGTCCAGATAATCGTCACCGGTGTTGTTGGCCGTGAGCGGGAGGCGATCTCGGGTCACCGGGCTCGTAGCGCAGCGCCGCGCTAACCGCTACCACCACCGCTCCCGTCCGTCCGTCCGTCCGCCTGTAACGTTGGGGTTGGGGTTGGCGGGGGTGGGAGTAAGTGAGCGCGACGTTGGTGCAACGTCGCGCTCACTGTGCGGCCGGCGCCTCGACCCCAGGAGAAAGCCGGACGCATCGATCGGAGCGTTAATTCCCCAGTCGCAATCCAAACAAGAGGGGGCTCTGTGTAAACGTGCAAACACTTGAGGGAGGCCAGTGGTGGTGGTGGTGATGGTGGTGTTTTATTTTCTACTCAACCAATCACCCGCCGGTGTCGATGGCCGCTAAAGGACACGCCGGCTTGGCATCTCCGACTTCCGCGGCGCTGCATAAAACCTCGCGGCCGACGACCCCGGCAGCCGAGCCGGGGAGAAGTGAACGGTTGGGCCCCATTAACCGTGGTAAAAGTAACATTTTGTGTTTATTATTTGGGGGGTTATATTGCGTCAGTAAATCTCTCGGACGTGTCGTTAAAGCCGCCGCCGGCCCGCCCGCCTGCCCGCCCGCCCGCGCATCACCCGACGCGGCCAATCGGCGAGGTTTGTCAACGAGAGAATCAGCGCGTCAATTCGTTACACGTTCAGCACACCGGTAAAAGAACCCAGTAACGTTTGCTTGGGCGATAGCAACAACAACAACAGCAGCAGCGGCGGCGGCGGCGGCGGCGGCGGCGGCCGGCTCCATCGGCGACACGTCACGGCTGCTCGGATGTCTTGAACGCTGCCGTGGGTTCGCTCTCCCGACACAGTCGCAACCGGGATGGCGCGCCCAGCTCGAAACTGCTGGACACGTTTTGTTTGCTCGACGCAAGCCTTGTTGAAGTGGTTGTGTCGAGCGGCGGCGGCGGCGGCGGCGGCGGGGGGTTCAAGGGCCCACTTGGGCTCGCGCGATCCGACTCCCGAAAAACCCCGCGTGTGGATTACGCTTTTCGATTTAAAGCTTTCGTGACCGCAGGGATTCATTATTTCTTGGTTCTTTCGGTAAAGTCACCACCACGTAGAAGGGAAATAATGAAGTGATAAAAAAAATAGAACAATAAAACGTTCACGACGTTTCGATTGCAATCACAAGCAATCATCATCAGGTGATGATTGCAGTTATCATCAGGTGATGATTGCAATTATCATCAGGTGATGATTGCAATTATCAGGTGATGATTGCTTGTGTTGCAATCGAAACGTCGTGAGAATTTTACTGTGTTTTTATTATTATTTTTATTATTATTTCCCTTCTACGTGGTGACTTTACCGAAAGACCTCGCGTCTGAATTACGCGGTCTTTTTTTCCTGCCGTTCTGAAATTAAAACTCTCTCAAAAGCTAAGTTTAGCAACGTCGCGGGAGAGGAGGCTTTCGCGACGCGCACAGCCGGCTGGTGCTAAACGAGCCAAAACTGATTGGCCACGTTTGGGTTTTTGTGACAAAGCACCCCCCCTTTCATTACCGAGAGAGGGGCTTTAACGACGCACTTCGTAACATTTAAACGCGTTCTAACCCTCTCGCTGGCGGGCGGAGTTGGCCGGTGAGGGCCCGCGTGCTGGGTTTGGGACTCTTTCGCTTACGCCCCCCCCCGAGCCGCTCGTGGTGGGGACACGTTGCAACGTTGGCGTTGCTCTTGCCGGTATGACGCGCAAAGGTGCAGCCTTTGCTCGTCATACCGCCTACAGGGCTTTCCCCCCCCCCCCCCCCCCCCCCCCCCCTGCCCCCCACCCCCCATGCCTCTCCGTGCGCCTGGGGTTATGTTTGGGACGTGCTGCCATCAACGGGTTTTTACATTTTTTGTTGTTGTGGCTGTTGACGAGTTCTCTCGAAACTGTGAGTTGCGTGGGTGGGTAAGATTAAACAATCCCGTGCGTATCGCGTGAAGGTGGCTAGGAGATGTTAGCTCGCTCGCCTGGTCTACAGGAGGTCGTGGGTTCGATCCCGACCCTGATGCCTGCTGCTGTATATTTGGAGTCTGCGTGTCTCTCTCTCTCTCTCCCTCCCTCATCATCATTATGGTGGTGAGATGTTAACTACCTCGCCTGGTATACAGGAGGTCGTGGGTTCGATTCCGACCCTGATGCCTGCTGCTGTATATTTGGAGTTTGCGTGTCTCTCTCTCATCATCATCATCACGGTGGCTAGGAGATGTTAACTACCTTGTCTGGTATACAGGAGGTCGTTCGATCGCGACCCTGACGCCTGTTGAATATTTGGAGTTTGCGTGTCTCTCTCTCTCTCATCATCATCATGGTGGTGAGATGTTAACTACCTCGCCTGGTGTACAGGAGTTCGTGGGTTCTATCCTGACCCTGACGCCTGCTGCTGTATATTTGGAGTCTGCGTGTCTCTCATCATTATCATCATCACGGTGGCTAGGAGATGTTAACTACCTCGCCTGGTATACAGGAGGTGGTTGTTCGATCGTGACCCTGATGCCTGCTGCTGTATATTTGGAGTCTGCGTGTCTCTCTCTCTGTCCCCGTGGTGGTGTGGTTTTTTTTCTCCGGGTCCTCCGTTTTTTTTTCCTCCACATTTAACATCATCAACATAACCATGCTCTTAGAGTATTTGGTTGCTGCTATACATTTACACACAACGACGACGATGACGATGATGATGATGAAGCCACTTCGTTGAGCTATCGTTTGCGATGGCAAGGCCGCTTCTGAATAAGAGCTCCATAGCGCGGTGATCTTTGCCCGGTAGGTAAAATACACAAATCTAAATTTTTGTCGAATCTATTTTTTACATTTTCCTTTGCTTTGCACTCCTGTCGTGTTTGTTTGTTCGTATCGTTCGTTGATACAACTCTCTGACCCCCTCCCCCCCGTGCCCCGACTTGACATCCGTGAGAAGAAAAAAAAGCTTTATGGCTCAACATATTCCTCCTGCAGTATAAAAACGTATTCTGATTCTGCTTCTGACAAAGAAGCTATATCGCTCAGTAGGCCTTACCTGGTAAAGACAAATGTCCATTGGGGTTTATTGTTTAAATAGGCGCTCGCTAACGGCGTTTGGTGGTGTTGTTTGTGCCTACAGGAGGGGACCGCAGAGTTAGAGGCGGGGAGCGGCCGACGTCTTTGTATGACGGGGGGACTGGTTTCGCCACCGGCACCACCACCACCACCGCCACCACCATAAGACGAAGACAAATCCTTAACGGACTGTTGGGGGCAAGCGCTGTTGGCGAGCGCCACCACCACCGCCACCACCGAAAGACAAATCCTTACCGGACTGTTGGGGGCAAGCCCTGTTGGCAAGTGCCACCACCACCGCCACCACCGAAAGACAAATCCTTACCGGACTGTTGGAGGCAAGCCCTGTTGGCAAGCGCCACCACCACCGCCACCACCGAAAGACAAATCCTTACCGGACTGTTGGGGGCAAGCGCTGTTGGCGAGCGCCACCGCCGCCACCGCCGTCACCGCCGGTCCCCACCCCCGCCATCGCCGCCGCCGCCGCCTTCGCCGTCCGCCACCTGCGGGGCCGGATGGCGTGGTGCTGGTGGTGCCGCTGCCCGTCGTCCCGCCCGCTGATACTGCTCCTGCTGGCGCTGGGCGTGGTGCAGCTGTGCGCTCTGCTGCTGCACGTGGGCGGCTACGGCCGGGCCCTGCGCGACGCCGTCGCCTCGGCGTTTGCCGGCTCCGACTACGACTACGACTACTCGCGCCGCGTCGATGTCTACGCCAACCTGAGCCGCCTGCTGCTGGCGCCGCGGGACGGTCCGGTGCCCCTGTGTCCCGAGCGGTCGCCGCTCCTCGGTGAGTTTTTTTTGTTGTTGTTGTTGTTCCGGGGGATGGATGGCGTGTCCCCCCCACCCCCCCGCCCCCCCCACCGGCGCCGGTCGGCTCCGGTCGATCTTGGTCGTGGCCTCGTCCGTGAGCCCTGACGGCAACGCACTGCCTAGGGAGTGCCTTAGTCTGACTCTGTGAGTCTCAGTCTTGTTTACAATGTGTATGGGTGCCTTAGTCTGACTCTGTGAGTCTCAGTCTTGTCTATGGCCCCTGACTGTCAGTACAACACCTAGCGGGTGCCTTAGTCTGCCACTATGAGTCTCAGTCTTGTCTATGGCCCCTGTCAGTACAACACCTAGGGAGTGCCTTAGTCTGCCTCTATGAGTCTCAGTCTTGTTTACAATGTGTATGGGTGCCTTAGTCTGACTCTGTGAGTCTCAGTCTTGTTTACAATGTGTATGGGTGCCTTAGTCTGACTCTGTGAGTCTCAGTCTTGTTTACAATGTGCATGGGTGCCTTAGTCTGCCTCTGTGAGTCTCAGTCTTGTTTACAATGTGTATGGGTGCCTTAGTCTGACTCTGTGAGTCTCAGTCTTGTTTACAATGTGCATGGGTGCCTTAGTCTGACTCTGTGAGTCTCAGTCTTGTTTACAATGTGTATGGGTGCCTTAGTCTGACTCTGTGAGTCTCAGTCTTGTTTACAATGTGTATGGGTGCCTTAGTCTGACTCTGTGAGCCTTCGTCTTGTTTACAATGTGTATGGGTGCCTTAGTCTGACTCTGAGTCTCAGTCTTGTTTACAATGTGTATGGGTGCCTTAGTCTGACTCTGTGAGTCTTCGTCTTGTTTACAATGTGTATGGGTGCCTTAGTCTGCCTCTATGAGTCTCAGTCTTGTCTATGAACCCTGTCAGTACAACACCTAGGGAGTGCCTTAGTCTGCCTCTATGAGTCTCAGTCTTGTCTATGAACCCTGACAGTACAACACCTAGCGGGTGCCTTAGTCTGCCTCTATGAGTCTCAGTCTTGTCTATGGCCCCTGACTGTCAGTACAACACCTAGGGAGTGCCTTAGTCTGCCTCTATGAGTCTCAGTCTTGTCTATGAGCCCTGTCAGTACAACACCTAGGGAGTGCCTTAGTCTGCCTCTATGAGTCTCAGTCTTGTCTATGGCCCCTGACTGACAGTACAACACCTAGCGGGTGCCTTAGTCTGCCTCTATGAGTCTCAGTCTTGTCTATGGCCCCTGACTGTCAGTACAACACCTAGGGGGTGCCTTAGTCTGCCTCTATGAGTCTCAGTCTTGTCTATGGCCCCTGACTGTCAGTACAACACTTAGCGGGTGCCTTAGTCTGCCTCTGAGTCTCAGTCTTGTCTATGAACCCTGACTGACAGTACAACACCTAGGGAGTGCCTTAGTCTGCCTCTATGAGTCTCAGTCTTGTCTATGAACCCTGACTGTCAGTACAACACCTAGGGAGTGCCTTAGTCTGCCTCTATGAGTCTCAGTCTTGTCTATGAACCCTGTCAGTACAACACCTAGGGAGTGCCTTAGTCTGCCTCTGTGAGTCTCAGTCTTGTCTATGAACCCTGACTGACAGTACAACACCTAGGGAGTGCCTTAGTCTGCCTCTGTGAGTCTCAATCTTGTCTATGAACCCTGTCAGTACAACACCTAGTGGGTGCCTTAGTCTGCCTCTATGAGTCTCAGTCTTGTCTATGGCCCCTGTCAGTACAACACCTAGGGAGTGCCTTAGTCTGCCTCTATGAGTCTCAGTCTTGTCTATGAACCCTGACAGTACAACACCTAGGGAGTGCCTTACTCTGCCTCTATGAGTCTCAGTCTTGTCTATGAACCCTGTCAGTACAACACCTAGCGGGTGCCTTAGTCTGCCTCTATGAGTCTCAGTCTTGTCTATGAACCCTGTCAGTACAACACCTAGGGAGTGCCTTAGTCTGCCTCTATGAGTCTCAGTCTTGTCTATGAACCCTGTCAGTACAACACCTAGCGGGTGCCTTAGTCTGCCTCTATGAGTCTCAGTCTTGTCTATGAACCCTGACTGTCAGTACAACACCTAGGGAGTGCCTTAGTCTGCCTCTATGAGTCTCAGTCTTGTCTATGAACCCTGTCAGTACAACACCTAGCGGGTGCCTTAGTCTGCCTCTATGAGTCTCAGTCTTGTCTATGGCCCCTGACTGACAGTACAACACCTAGCGGGTGCCTTAGTCTGCCTCTATGAGCCTCAGTCTTGTCTATGAACCCTGACTGTCAGTACAACACCTAGGGAGTGCCTTAGTCTGCCTCTATGAGCCTCAGTCTTGTCTATGAACCCTGACTGTCAGTACAACACCTAGCGGGTGCCTTAGTCTGCCTCTATGAGTCTCAGTCTTGTCTATTAACCCTGTCAGTACAACACCTAGCGGGTGCCTTAGTCTACCTCTGAGTCTCAGTCTTGTCTATGGCCCCTGACTGTCAGTACAACACCTAGGGAGTGCCTTAGTCTGCCTCTATGAGTCTCAGTCTTGTCTATGGCCCCTGACTGTCAGTACAACACCTAGCGAGTGCCTTAGTCTGCCTCTATGAGTCTCAGTCTTGTCTATGGCCCCTGACTGTCAGTACAACACCTAGGGAGTGCCTTAGTCTGCCTCTATGAGTCTCAGTCTTGTCTATGAACCCTGTCAGTACAACACCTAGCGGGTGCCTTAGTCTGCCTCTATGAGTCTCAGTCTTGTCTATGGCCCCTGACTGTCAGTACAACACCTAGCGGGTGCCTTAGTCTGCCTCTATGAGTCTCAGTCTTGTCTATGGCCTCTGACTGACAGTACAACACCTAGCGGGTGCCTTAGTCTGCCTCTATGAGTCTCAGTCTTGTCTATGGCCCCTGACTGTCAGTACAACACCTAGGGAGTGCCTTAGTCTGCCTCTATGAGTCTCAGTCTTGTCTATGAACCCTGACTGTCAGTACAACACCTAGCGGGTGCCTTAGTCTGCCTCTATGGGTCTCAGTCTTGTCTATGGCCCCTGACTGTCAGTACAACAACTAGGGAGTGCCTTAGTCTGCCTCTATGAGTCTCAGTCTTGTCTATGGCCCCTGACTGACAGTACAACACCTAGGGAGTGCCTTAGTCTGCCTCTATGAGTCTCAGTCTTGTCTATGAACCCTGTCAGTACAACACCTAGGGAGTGCCTTAGTCTGCCTCTATGAGTCTCAGTCTTGTCTATGGCCCCTGACTGACAGTACAACACCTAGGGAGTGCCTTAGTCTGCCTCTATGAGTCTCAGTCTTTTCTATGAACCCTGACAGTACAACACCTAGCGGGTGTCTTAGTCTGCCTCTATGAGTCTCAGCCTTGTCTATGAACCCTGACAGTACAACACCTAGCGGGTGCCTTAGTCTGCCTCTATGAGTCTCAGTCTTGTCCTATGGCCTCTGACTGTCAGTACAACACCTAGGGAGTGCCTTAGTCTGCCTCTATGAGTCTCAGTCTTATCTATGAACCCTGTCAGTACAACACCTAGCGGGTGCCTTACTCTGCCTCTATGAGTCTCAGTCTTGTCTATGGCCCCTGACTGTCAGTACAACACCTAGGGAGTGCCTTAGTCTGCCTCTATGAGTCTCAGTCTTGTCTATGAACCCTGTCAGTACAACACCTAGCGGGTGCCTTAGTCTGCCTCTATGAGTCTCAGTCTTGTCTATGGCCCCTGACTGTCAGTACAACACCTAGCGGGTGCCTTAGTCTGCCTCTATGAGTCTCAGTCTTGTCTATGGCCTCTGACTGACAGTACAACACCTAGCGGGTGCCTTAGTCTGCCTCTATGAGTCTCAGTCTTGTCTATGGCCCCTGACTGTCAGTACAACACCTAGGGAGTGCCTTAGTCTGCCTCTATGAGTCTCAGTCTTGTCTATGTACCCTGACTGTCAGTACAACACCTAGCGGGTGCCTTAGTCTGCCTCTATGGGTCTCAGTCTTGTCTATGGCCCCTGACTGTCAGTACAACAACTAGGGAGTGCCTTAGTCTGCCTCTATGAGTCTCAGTCTTGTCTATGGCCCCTGACTGACAGTACAAACACCTAGGGAGTGCCTTAGTCTGCCTCTATGAGTCTCAGTCTTGTCTATGAACCCTGTCAGTACAACACCTAGGGAGTGCCTTAGTCTGCCTCTATGAGTCTCAGTCTTGTCTATGGCCCCTGACTGACAGTACAACACCTAGGGAGTGCCTTAGTCTGCCTCTATGAGTCTCAGTCTTTTCTATGAACCCTGACAGTACAACACCTAGCGGGTGTCTTAGTCTGCCTCTATGAGTCTCAGCCTTGTCTATGAACCCTGACAGTACAACACCTAGCGGGTGCCTTAGTCTGCCTCTATGAGTCTCAGTCTTGTCTATGGCCTCTGACTGTCAGTACAACACCTAGGGAGTGCCTTAGTCTGCCTCTATGAGTCTCAGTCTTATCTATGAACCCTGTCAGTACAACACCTAGGGAGTGCCTTACTCTGCCTCTATGAGTCTCAGTCTTGTCTATGAACCCTGTCAGTACAACACCTAGCGGGTGCCTTAGTCTGCCTCTATGAGTCTCAGTCTTGTCTATGAACCCTGTCAGTACAACACCTAGGGAGTGCCTTAGTCTGCCTCTATGAGTCTCAGTCTTGTCTATGGCCCCTGACTGTCAGTACAACACCTAGGGAGTGCCTTAGTCTGCCTCTATGAGTCTCAGTCTTGTCTATGGCCCCTGACTGTCAGTACAACACCTAGGGAGTGCCTTAGTCTGCCTCTATGAGTCTCAGTCTTGTCTATGCCCCTGACTGTCAGTACAACACCTAGGGAGTGCCTTAGTCTGCCTCTATGAGTCTCAGTCTTGTCTATGAACCCTGTCAGTACAACACCTAGCGGGTGCCTTAGTCTGCCTCTATGAGTCTCAGTCTTGTCTATGGCCCCTGACTGTCAGTACAACACCTAGCGGGTGCCTTAGTCTGCCTCTATGAGTCTCAGTCTTGTCTATGGCCTCTGACTGACAGTACAACACCTAGCGGGTGCCTTAGTCTGCCTCTATGAGTCTCAGTCTTGTCTATGGCCCCTGACTGTCAGTACAACACCTAGGGAGTGCCTTAGTCTGCCTCTATGAGTCTCAGTCTTGTCTATGAACCCTGACTGTCAGTACAACACCTAGCGGGTGCCTTAGTCTGCCTCTATGGGTCTCAGTCTTGTCTATGGCCCCTGACTGTCAGTACAACAACTAGGGAGTGCCTTAGTCTGCCTCTATGAGTCTCAGTCTTGTCTATGGCCCCTGACTGACAGTACAACACCTAGGGAGTGCCTTAGTCTGCCTCTATGAGTCTCAGTCTTGTCTATGAACCCTGTCAGTACAACACCTAGGGAGTGCCTTAGTCTGCCTCTATGAGTCTCAGTCTTGTCTATGGCCCCTGACTGACAGTACAACACCTAGGGAGTGCCTTAGTCTGCCTCTATGAGTCTCAGTCTTTTCTATGAACCCTGACAGTACAACACCTAGCGGGTGTCTTAGTCTGCCTCTATGAGTCTCAGCCTTGTCTATGAACCCTGACAGTACAACACCTAGCGGGTGCCTTAGTCTGCCTCTATGAGTCTCAGTCTTGTCTATGGCCTCTGACTGTCAGTACAACACCTAGGGAGTGCCTTAGTCTGCCTCTATGAGTCTCAGTCTTATCTATGAACCCTGTCAGTACAACACCTAGCGGGTGCCTTACTCTGCCTCTATGAGTCTCAGTCTTGTCTATGGCCCCTGACTGTCAGTACAACACCTAGGGAGTGCCTTAGTCTGCCTCTATGAGTCTCAGTCTTGTCTATGAACCCTGTCAGTACAACACCTAGCGGGTGCCTTAGTCTGCCTCTATGAGTCTCAGTCTTGTCTATGGCCCCTGACTGTCAGTACAACACCTAGCGGGTGCCTTAGTCTGCCTCTATGAGTCTCAGTCTTGTCTATGGCCTCTGACTGACAGTACAACACCTAGCGGGTGCCTTAGTCTGCCTCTATGAGTCTCAGTCTTGTCTATGGCCCCTGACTGTCAGTACAACACCTAGGGAGTGCCTTAGTCTGCCTCTATGAGTCTCAGTCTTGTCTATGAACCCTGACTGTCAGTACAACACCTAGCGGGTGCCTTAGTCTGCCTCTATGGGTCTCAGTCTTGTCTATGGCCCCTGACTGTCAGTACAACAACTAGGGAGTGCCTTAGTCTGCCTCTATGAGTCTCAGTCCTTGTCTATGGCCCCTGACTGACAGTACAACACCTAGGGAGTGCCTTAGTCTGCCTCTATGAGTCTCAGTCTTGTCTATGAACCCTGTCAGTACAACACCTAGGGAGTGCCTTAGTCTGCCTCTATGAGTCTCAGTCTTGTCTATGGCCCCTGACTGACAGTACAACACCTAGGGAGTGCCTTAGTCTGCCTCTATGAGTCTCAGTCTTTTCTATGAACCCTGACAGTACAACACCTAGCGGGTGTCTTAGTCTGCCTCTATGAGTCTCAGCCTTGTCTATGAACCCTGACAGTACAACACCTAGCGGGTGCCTTAGTCTGCCTCTATGAGTCTCAGTCTTGTCTATGGCCACTGACTGTCAGTACAACACCTAGGGAGTGCCTTAGTCTGCCTCTATGAGTCTCAGTCTTATCTATGAACCCTGTCAGTACAACACCTAGGGAGTGCCTTACTCTGCCTCTATGAGTCCTCAGTCCTTGTCTATGAACCTGATGTCAGTACAACACCTAGCGGGTGCCTTAGTCTGCCTCTATGAGTCTCAGTCTTGTCTATGAACCCTGTCAGTACAACACCTAGGGAGTGCCTTAGTCTGCCTCTATGAGTCTCAGTCTTGTCTATGAACCCTGTCAGTACAACACCTAGCGGGTGCCTTAGTCTGCCTCTATGAGTCTCAGTCTTGTCTATGAACCCTGACTGTCAGTACAACACCTAGGGAGTGCCTTAGTCTGCCTCTATGAGTCTCAGTCTTGTCTATGAACCCTGTCAGTACAACACCTAGCGGGTGCCTTAGTCTGCCTCTATGAGTCTCAGTCTTGTCTATGGCCCCTGACTGACAGTACAACACCTAGCGGGTGCCTTAGTCTGCCTCTATGAGCCTCAGTCTTGTCTATGAACCCTGACTGTCAGTACAACACCTAGGGAGTGCCTTAGTCTGCCTCTATGAGCCTCAGTCTTGTCTATGAACCCTGACTGTCAGTACAACACCTAGCGGGTGCCTTAGTCTGCCTCTATGAGTCTCAGTCTTGTCTATTAACCCTGTCAGTACAACACCTAGCGGGTGCCTTAGTCTACCTCTGAGTCTCAGTCTTGTCTATGGCCCCTGACTGTCAGTACAACACCTAGGGAGTGCCTTAGTCTGCCTCTATGAGTCTCAGTCTTGTCTATGGCCCCTGACTGTCAGTACAACACCTAGGGAGTGCCTTAGTCTGCCTCTATGAGTCTCAGTCTTGTCTATGGCCCCTGACTGTCAGTACAACACCTAGGGAGTGCCTTAGTCTGCCTCTATGAGTCTCAGTCTTGTCTATGAACCCTGTCAGTACAACACCTAGCGGGTGCCTTAGTCTGCCTCTATGAGTCTCAGTCTTGTCTATGGCCCCTGACTGTCAGTACAACACCTAGCGGGTGCCTTAGTCTGCCTCTATGAGTCTCAGTCTTGTCTATGGCCTCTGACTGACAGTACAAACACCTAGCGGGTGCCTTAGTCTGCCTCTATGAGTCTCAGTCTTGTCTATGGCCCCTGACTGTCAGTACAACACCTAGGGAGTGCCTTAGTCTGCCTCTATGGGTCTCAGTCTTGTCTATGGCCCCTGACTGTCAGTACAACAACTAGGGAGTGCCTTAGTCTGCCTCTATGAGTCTCAGTCTTGTCTATGGCCCCTGACTGACAGTACAACACCTAGGGAGTGCCTTAGTCTGCCTCTATGAGTCTCAGTCTTGTCTATGAACCCTGTCAGTACAACACCTAGGGAGTGCCTTAGTCTGCCTCTATGAGTCTCAGTCTTGTCTATGGCCCCTGACTGACAGTACAACACCTAGGGAGTGCCTTAGTCTGCCTCTATGAGTCTCAGTCTTGTCTATGAACCCTGACAGTACAACACCTAGCGGGTGTCTTAGTCTGCCTCTATGAGTCTCAGCCTTGTCTATGAACCCTGACAGTACAACACCTAGCGGGTGCCTTAGTCTGCCTCTATGAGTCTCAGTCTTGTCTATGGCCCCTGACTGTCAGTACAACACCTAGCGGGTGCCTTAGTCTGCCTCTATGAGTCTCGGTCTTGTCTATGAACCCTGTCAGTACAACACCTAGCGGGTGCCTTAGTCTGCCTCTATGAGTCTCAGTCTTGTCTATGGCCTCTGACTGTCAGTACAACACCTAGGGAGTGCCTTAGTCTGCCTCTATGAGTCTCAGTCTTATCTATGAACCCTGTCAGTACAACACCTAGGGAGTGCCTTAGTCTGCCTCTATGAGTCTCAGTCTTGTCTATGGCCCCTGACTGACAGTACAACACCTAGCGGGTGCCTTAGTCTGCCTCTATGAGTCTCAGTCTTGTCTATGAACCCTGTCAGTACAACACCTAGGGGGTGTCTTAGTCTGCCTCTATGAGTCCCAGTCTTGTCTATGAACCCTGACTGTCAGTACAACAGCTAGGGAGTGCCTTAGTCTGCCTCTATGAGTCCCAGTCTTGTCTATGAACCCTGACTGTCAGTACAACACCTAGGGAGTGCCTTAGTCTGCCTCTATGAGTCTCAGTCTTGTCTATGAACCCTGTCAGTACAACACCTAGGGAGTGCCTTAGTCTGCCTCTATGAGTCCCAGTCTTGTCTATGAACCCTGACTGTCAGTACAACACCTAGGGAGTGCCTTAGTCTGCCTCTATGAGTCTCAGTCTTGTCTATGAACCCTGTCAGTACAACACCTAGGGAGTGCCTTAGTCTGCCTCTATGAGTCTCAGTCTTGCCTATGAACCTGACTGTCAGTACAACACCTAGCGGGTGCCTTAGTCTGCCTCTATGAGTCTCAGTCTTGTCTATGAACCCTGTCAGTACAACACCTAGCGGGTGCCTTAGTCTGCCTCTATGAGTCTCAGTCTTGTCTATGAACCCTGTCAGTACAACACCTAGCGAGTGCCTTAGTCTGCCTCTATGAGTCTCAGTCTTGTCTATGGCCCCTGACTGTCAGTACAACACCTAGCGGGTGCCTTAGTCTGCCTCTATTAGTCTCAGTCTTGTCTATGGCCCCTGACTGTCAGTACAACACCTAGCGGGTGCCTTAGTCTGCCTCTATGAGTCTCAGTCTTGTCTATGGCCCCTGACTGTCAGTACAACACCTAGCGGGTGCCTTAGTCTGCCTCTATGAGTCTCAGTCTTGTCTATGAGCCCTGACTGTCAGTACAACACCTAGCGGGTGCCTTAGTCTGCCTCTATGAGTCTCAGCCTTGTCTATGAACCCTGACTGACAGTACAACACCTAGGGAGTGCCTTAGTCTGCCTCTATGAGTCTCAGCCTTGTCTATGAACCCTGACTGACAGTACAACACCTAGGGAGTGCCTTAGTCTGCCTCTATGAGTCTCAGTCTTGTCTATGGCCTCTGACTGTCAGTACAACACCTAGGGAGTGCCTTAGTCTGCCTCTATGAGTCTCAGTCTTGTCTATGGCCCCTGACTGTCAGTACAACACCTAGGGAGTGCCTTAGTCTGCCTCTATGAGTCTCAGTCTTGTCTATGAACCCTGACTGACAGTACAACACCTAGCGGGTGCCTTAGTCTGCCTCTATGAGTCTCAGTCTTGTCTATGGAACCTGACTGTCAGTACAACACCTAGCGGGTGTCTTAGTCTGCCTCTATGAGTCTCAGTCTTGTCTATGGCCCCTGACTGTCAGTACAACACCTAGGGAGTGCCTTAGTCTGCCTCTATGAGTCTCAGTCTTGTCTATGGCCCCTGACTGTCAGTACAACACCTAGGGAGTGCCTTAGTCTGCCTCTATGAGTCTCAGTCTTGTCTATGAACCCTGACTGACAGTACAACACCTAGCGGGTGCCTTAGTCTGCCTCTATGAGTCTCAGTCTTGTCTATGGCCCCTGACTGTCAGTACAACACCTAGCGGGTGTCTTAGTCTGCCTCTATGAGTCTCAGTCTTGTCTATGGCCCCTGACTGTCAGTACAACACCTAGGGAGTGCCTTAGTCTGCCTCTATGAGTCTCAGTCTTGTCTATGGCCCCTGACTGTCAGTACAACACCTAGGAAGTCCCTTAGACTGCCTCTATGAGTCTCAGTCTTGTCTATGGCCCCTGACTGTCAGTACAACACCTAGCGGGTGTCTTAGTCTGCCTCTATGAGTCTCAGTCTTGTCTATGGCCCCTGACTGTCAGTACAACACCTAGGGAGTGCCTTAGTCTGCCTCTATGAGTCTCAGTCTTGTCTATGGCCCCTGACTGTCAGTACAACACCTAGGGAGTGCCTTAGTCTGCCTCTATGAGTCTCAGCCTTGTCTATGAACCCTGACTGACAGTACAACACCTAGGGAGTGCCTTAGTCTGCCTCTATGAGTCTCAGTCTTGTCTATGGCCTCTGACTGTCAGTACAACACCTAGGGAGTGCCTTAGTCTGCCTCTATGAGTCTCAGTCTTGTCTATGGCCCCTGACTGTCAGTACAACACCTAGCGGGTGCCTTAGTCTGCCTCTATGAGTCTCAGTCTTGTCTATGGCCCCTGACTGTCAGTACAACACCTAGCGGGTGTCTTAGTCTGCCTCTATGAGTCTCAGTCTTGTCTATGGCCCCTGACTGTCAGTACAACACCTAGGAAGTCCCTTAGACTGCCTCTATGAGTCTCAGCCTTGTCTATGAACCCTGACTGACAGTACAACACCTAGCGGGTGCCTTAGTCTGCCTCTATGAGTCTCAGTCTTGTCTATGGCCCCTGACTGTCAGTACAACACCTAGGAAGTCCCTTAGACTGCCTCTATGAGTCTCAGTCTTGTCTATGAACCCTGACTGTCAGTACAACACCTAGGGAGTGCCTTAGTCTGCCTCTATGAGTCTCAGCCTTGTCTATGAACCCTGACTGACAGTACAACACCTAGGGAGTGCCTTAGTCTGCCTCTATGAGTCTCAGTCTTGTCTATGGCCTCTGACTGTCAGTACAACACCTAGCGGGTGCCTTAGTCTGCCTCTATGAGTCTCGGTCTTGTCTATGAACCCTGACTGTCAGTACAACACCTAGCGGGTGCCTTAGTCTGCCTCTATGAGTCTCAGTCTTGTCTATGAACCCTGACTGTCAGTACAACACCTAGGGAGTGCCTTAGTCTGCCTCTATGAGTCTCAGTCTTGTCTATGGCCCCTGACTGTCAGTACAACACCTAGGGGGTGCCTTAGTCTGCCTCTATGAGTCTCAGTCTTGTCTATGAACCCTGTCAGTACAACACCTAGGGAGTGCCTTAGTCTGCCTCTATGAGTCTCAGTCTTGTCTATGAACCCTGACTGTCAGTACAACACCTAGGGGGTGCCTTAGTCTGCCTCTATGAGTCTCAGTCTTGTCTATGGCCCCTGACTGTCAGTACAACACCTAGGGGGTGCCTTAGTCTGCCTCTATGAGTCTCAGTCTTGTCTATGGCCCCTGACTGTCAGTACAACACCTAGGGAGTGCCTTAGTCTGCCTCTATGAGTCTCGGTCTTGTCTATGAACCCTGTCAGTACAACACCTAGGGAGTGCCTTAGTCTGCCTCTATGAGTCTCAGTCTTGTCTATGGCCCCTGACTGTCAGTACAACACCTAGCGGGTGCCTTAGTCTGCCTCTATGAGTCTCAGTCTTGTCTATGGCCCCTGACTGTCAGTACAACACCTAGCGGGTGCCTTAGTCTGCCGCTACAAACCCTCTTTTCCTTTCTACCCCAATCCCCCGCCCCCCGGCGCTCCCTCCGCAGTGGGGCCCATAGACATCGACTTTGAGAGGCACCAGCAGCTGAGCGAGATCGCTCGGCACAACCCGCTGGTGCGTGCCGGCGGCGTCTACTCCCCGCCCGACTGCCACGCGCGGCACCGCACCGCCGTGGTGGTGCCGCACCGCAACCGCGAGCACCACCTGCTCCACCTGCTCTACTACCTGCACCCCGTGCTGCAGCGGCAGCAGCTGCACTACACCATCTACGTCGTCCACCAGGTGAGTGTCGCCACGGTGGTGGAGGTGGTGAGGCTTGCAGGGTGTGTGTGTGTGTTTGTGTAGGTGAGGCTAGCAGGGTGTGTGTGTGTATGTGTAGGTGAGGCTGGCAGGGTGTGTGTGTGTAGGTGAGGCTGACAGGGTGTGTGTGTGTGGGTGAGGCTGACAGGGTGTGTGTGTAGGTGAGGCTGACAGTGTGTGTGTGTGTAGGTGAGTGAGGCTGGCAGGGTGTGTGTATGTGTAGGTGAGGCTGGCAGGGTGTGTGTGTGTAGGTGAGGCTGACAGGGTGTGTGTGTGTGGGTGAGGCTGACAGGGTGTGTGTGTAGGTGAGGCTGACAGTGTGTGTGTGTAGGTGAGGCTGGTAGGGTATGTGTGTGTGTGTGTAGGTTGGTGAGGCTGGCAGGGTGTGTGTGTGTAGGTGAGGCTGACAGGGTGTGTGTGTGTGGGTGAGGCTGACAGGGTGTGTGTGTAGGTGAGGCTGGCAGGGTGTGTGTGTGGGTGAGGCTGACAGGGTGTGTGTGTGTGGGTGAGCCTGACCGTGTGTGTGTGTAGGTGAGGCTGGCAGGGTGTGTGTGTGTGTAGGTGAGTCTGGCAGGGTGTGTGTGTGTGTGTAGGTGAGGCTGGAAATGTGTTTGTGAGTCTATGTAGTAGTTAGCGGTTAATGTAGTGGCGAGCGGTAATGCAGTGGTGGTTAGCGGTAGTGTGGTGGTGAGCGGTAGTGTGGTGGTGAGCGGTAGTGTGTTGGTGAGCGGTAGTGTGGTGGTGAGCGGTAGTGTGGTGGCCAGAGGCCTGGTGGCTGTGGCCACGGCGGCGGCCGCGGCGGCTGTTGTTGTTGTTGTGGCCGGAGGTAGCGGGTGAGGCGGTGCAGAACAACGTCGCATTGGGCTTTGAAGCAGGGCCTGCGGACGGAGCGTAGGAGACCAGTGGCCACTGTAACATCAACACCGTCACCGTTGTCAACATCAATGTCGTCAACATCATGGCCGTGGACGTTCATTCTCTCACCCCCAGCTCGCTCTGAGAGTATCGTAACAACACCATCAACCATCAACACCATCGTCAACAACACCATCATCAACAACGTCGTCAACATCAATATCGTCAACATCACGGTCGTGGACGTTCATTCTCTCACCCCCAGCTCGCTCTGAGAGTATCGTAACAACACCATCACCATCAACACCATCACCAACAACACCATCACCATCAACAACGTCGTCAACATCAATATTGTCAACATGGTAGTGGACGTTCATTCTCTCACCCCCAGCTCGCTCTGAGGGTACCGTAACAACACCATCACCATCAACACCATCACCAACAACACCATCATCAACAACGTCGTCAACATCAACACCATCACCATCAACACCATCATCAACAACGTCGTCAACATCAATATCGTCAACATGGTAGTGGACGTTCATTCTCTCACCCTCCCCAGCTCGCTCTGAGAGTACCGTAACATCAACACCATCGTCAACAACATCATCACCATCACCGTCGTCAACAACGTCGTCAACATCAATATCGTCAACATCACGGTCGTGGACGTTCATTCTCTCCCTCCCTCCCTCCCCCACCCGTTTCTATAGGCCGGCAACGAGACGTTCAATCGCGCCAAGCTCATGAACGTGGGCTTCCGCGAGGCGATGGCCGACGACGAGTGGAGCTGCGTCTTCTACCACGATGTGGACCTGGTGCCCGAGAACGACCACAACGTCTACACGTGCGACAGCAACCCCAAGCACATGTCGGCCGCGATGGACAAGTTCAAGTACAGGTACGGGTGGGGTGGAGGGTGTGTGGGGGGGGGGTGGGGGAGGTTGGGGCAGGGAGGGGTTGGTGGACCACACGTGGAGGTCGTGCGCGTGCCGGTTGTTCGTTTTGGGATCCTCGTTCGCTCGTCTCCTACTTCTCTCCCCTCTCATCTCACTCCACTCCCCTCTCATCTCACTCCACTCCCATCCACACACTGTCCTAACTCTCCCCTCTCATCTCACTCCACTCCCCTCTCATCTCACTCCACTCCCCTCTCATCTCACTCCACTCCCATCCACACACTGTCCTAACTCTCCCCTCTCATCTCACTCCACTCCCCTCTCATGTCACTCCACTCCCCTCCGCTTTCGGTTTGTCGTTCCTTTCACCCGCACGTCCGAAACAGCTCGGTTGGCTACGTAGGTATGCGAAAGGTTCAGCATACGTGTGCATAGGGCACAGGTCCACCTTCAGAACAACTGTTCACAGTCGAACCTCGGAGACCGAACGCACCAGAACTCGAACAAATCGGGCTGTTCGAACGATGTTTCGAAAACATTTTTTTTGCCCCGGAAACCGAACGAAATTCGGAGGTCGAACGGGGCAATCGACCACTTGAAAGAACCTGTACGCGGCTGAGACGCGTGGTGGCAGGAGCGTGCATGTCGCTTGCCCAGACAAAGGGGACTCCCCTTCCAAACAATAACACCACCACCACCACCACCTCCTCCTCCTCCTCACCACCAGCTTCCACTCGAGCAATCAACTCTCCTTACCGCAGGTAAAGTGAAGCTCAACGTTCATTTATTTCATTTAATTCCGTGTATTGATTCATTTATTTATTCAATTTATTGTTCCTTGGGTTTTTTTTTGTAATGATTTTATGCGTGTAATTACTGTAAACTTCGTGTAGAAATGCTTCATGATGAGAGATTTCTTGTGTCTGGAACCAATTAATGTCATTTACATTAATTCTTATGGGGAAAATTAATTCGGTGTTCGAACAAATCGGTGTTTCGAATTGCCTTCTGGAACGAATTAAGTTCCATCTCCGGGGTACCACTGTACAGTGAGAGAAAAAAGTATTTGATCCCCTGCTGATTTTGTACGTTTGCCCACTGACAAGGAAATGATCAGTCTATAATTTTAATGGTAGGTTTATTTGAACAGTGAGAGACAGAATAACAACAAGAAAATCCGGAAAAACGCATGTCAAAAATGTTATAAATTGATTTGCATTTTAATGATGGAAATAAGTATTTGACCCCCTCTCAATCAGAAAGATTTCTGGCTTCCAGGTGTCTTTTATACAGGTAACGAGCTGAGATTAGGAGCACACTCTTAAAGGGAGTGCTCCTAATCTCAGCTTGTTACCTGTATAAAAGACACCTGTCCACAGAAGCAATCAATCAATCAGATTCCAAACTCTCCACCATGGCCAAGACCAAAGAGCTCTCCAAGGATGTCAGGGACAAGATTGTAGACCTACACAAGGCTGGAATGGGCTACAAGACCATTGCCAAGCAGCTTGGTGAGAAGGTGACAACAGTTGGTGCGATTATTCGCAAATGGAAGAAACACAAAAGAACTGTCAATCTCCCTCGGCCTGGGGCTCCATGCAAGATCTCACCTCGTGGAGTTGCAATGATCATGAGAACGGTGAGGAATCAGCCCAGAACTACACGGGAGGATCTTGTCTATGATCTCAAGGCAGCTGGAACCATAGTCACCAAGAAAACAATTGGTAACACACTACGCCGTTAAAGACTGAAATCCTGCAGCGCCCGCAAGGTCCCCCTGCTCAAGAAAGCACATATACATGCTCGTCTGAAGTTTGCCAATGAACATCTGAATGATTCAGAGGACAACTGGGTGAAAGTGTTGTGGTCAGATGAGACCAAAATGGAGCTCTTTGGCATCAACTCATCTCGCCGTATTTGGAGGAGGAGGAATGCTGCCTATGACCCCAAGAACACCATCCCCACCGTCAAACATGGAGGTGGAAACATTATGCTTTGGGGGTGTTTTTCTGCTAAGGGGACAGGACAACTTCACCGCATCAAAGAGACGATGGATGGGGCCATGTACCGTCAAACCTTGGGTGAGAACCTCCTTCCCTCAGCCAGGGCATTGAAAATGGGTCGTGGATGGGTATTCCAGCATGACAATGACCCAAAACACACGGCCAAGGCAACAAAGGAGTGGCTCAAGAAGAAGCACATTAAGGTCCTGGAGTGGCCTAGCCAGTCTCCAGACCTTAATCCCATAGAAAATCTGTGGAGGGAGCTGAAGGTTCGAGTTGCCAAACGTCAGCCTCGAAACCTTAATGACTTGGAGAAGATCTGCAAAGAGGAGTGGGACAAAATCCCTCCTGAGATGTGTGCAAACCTGGTGGCCAACTACAAGAAACGTCTGACCTCTGTGATTGCCAACAAGGGTTTTGCCACCAAGTACTAAGTCATGTTTTGCAGAGGGGGTCAAATACTTATTTCCCTCATTAAAATACAAATCAGTTTACAATATTTTTGAAACGTGCGTTCTTCTGGATTTTTGTTGTTGTTATTCTGCCTCTCACTGTTCAAATAAACCTACCATAAAAAATTATAGACTGATCATTTCTTTCTCAGTGGGCAAACGTACAAAATCATCAGGGGACCAAATACTTTTTCCCTCACTGTATGAGTCTTTGTGTGAGTCTATGAGTCTATGAGACTCTGTGTGAGTCTATGAGTCTCTGTGTGAGTCTATGGCTGCGTGAGTCTGAGTCTCTGTGTGAGTATATGGGTCTCTGTGTGAGTCTATAAGCCTCTGTGTGAGTCTATGAGTCTCCGTGTGAGTCTATGAGTCTCCGTGTGAGTCTATGAGTCTCCGTGTGAGTCTATGAGTCTCCGTGTGAGTCTATGAGTCTCCGTGTGAGTATATGGGTCTCTGTGTGAGTCTATAAGTCTCTGTGTGAGTCTATGGCTCACAGTGGGCTAACGTACAAAATCAGCAGGAGATCAATGACCTTTTCCCCCCCCCCCCCTTCACTGTACCTGCGCTTCTGCTGCCCTCTCCTGGATAAACTTTTACCCTGCGGCCACCTCCAGCCCGTGGCACCGTTGGTTCACGCCTTACCTCCCCTTTAGCATCGCGCGCAGCCAAACGCGCTTGCTACTCGGGGGCGCGCGCCGCACCGCGCACTCTGGTGGTCGTGCCTTACGCTGAGAGTCGTTCCCCCCCTACTCTGAGCCAGCCAGAAATGGCGTTCGGGGGGAGAATGTGGGGCGAGGGATTGGGGGCGGCGTGGCTTGGATTGGGGTCGTCCTCGGATTGTAAATGTCGTGGCTTTGCTCTCCGGTGCACACCGCGGCCTGTGCTGTACTCGTGACAAATTGGGCACGTTGTGTTTACCCGACGAACCTTACCGATCGGCTGCGTCGGTTGTGTTTTGCGTTGTTTTAACGACGGATTTTTGTTTTTTTTTTGCGCGATGTAACCCATCGTGCGTTATGGGGTATGGATGTGTTGCGTTTTAGTTTTGTATTTTTACGTGTATATTTTGTTGTTGTTGTTACCAGGCTAAAAGGCTGTGTAGCTTTTTTTTTTCAGAAGCGACCCTCTGGCCATCGCTAATGATAGCTCAACGAAGTTGGCTTGTCGTCGTTGCCGCCGTTGTCGTCGTCGCCGCCGCGTGGAAATTTACGCGCGATGTCGATGCTTAAATGTGGAGGGAAATAACCGGAGGGCCCGGGGAAAAATCCACGCGGCCACGGGGAGAGAGAGAGAGACACCGCAAACTCCAAATATGTGTGTCGAGCCCACGGCCTCCTGTACACCAGGCGAGGTAGTTAACATCTCCTAGCCACCGTGATGATGAGAGAGAGAGACACGCATACTCCAAATATACAGCAGGCGTCGTCAGGGTCGGGTCAAACCCACGACCTCCTGTACACCAGGCGAGGTAGTTAACATCTCATAGTCACCGTAATGATGATGATGAGAGAGAGAGACACGCAAACTCACAAATATACAGCAGGCATCGTCAGGGTCGGGATCGAACCCACGACCTCCTGTACACCAGGCGAGCTAGTCAACATCTCCTAGCCACCGCCATCCAGAGGCGCAGCCGCTTGAGGCAGTACGGCAAGCGGGTTCCTGTCGGTTTCATGGCGGCCTCTGGGGGTGCATCAGACGGGGCCTAGCGCGTCCACCATAATTGACGCAGTTTGTTTTCACGCGTTGCCATGTTAGTGACCAGATAAACCAAGCCACTCTTAACGTTGTTGTTATTGACATGAAACGTGTTGAGTTGCTGTTTGTCTTTCTGTGCACTACTGGCAACGCAGCAGCATCAGAATCACGCGTTTTATATGCATGTATGTAGCATCCCGCGTGTTTACCGCGCGTGTGTGTGTGTGTGTCCCATGTGTTCCCCGTGTATCTTGTACGTTGAACTTCGCACCGTGCGTAGCCGACGGTGCTAATGTATGTGGGGGGGGGGGGGGGGGTGGGCGGGCAGTGGTGCAGCAATACTCGCTCACGGCCACCAGCAACACTCAGTGGCAGCGATGATCTGAACCGGTCCCGGGGCCTGCTCCCCTAGGTCGACTCAACCTCAAATGAGTACCCGGTGCGGTGCGGAGCGGAGCAGACGTGTCGCTGCCGGGGAGACGAAGGCGACCGGGGCGTGGTGCTGGCCACCCACCCCCTCGTGCGCCTTGCCGGCCTTCACAGGTGCTTCAGGCTAATGGCGCTTGCCCCAGCGACCCGTCACGGCTGTACGGGAGGGGGGGTGATCTTTGTCTTGTCTATAGTGCGGTGTTCCCGTGTGCTCCCGCGCAGACTGCCATATCTGCGGTATTTTGGCGGCGTGTCTGCGCTGAGCCCCGAGCACTACCTCAAGATGAACGGATTCCCCAACACCTACTGGGGCTGGGGAGGGGAGGACGACGACATCGCCCACCGGTGAGACCACGCTCGCCCGCTCGCCTGCCTGTCCGCTCGCCCGCCTTGCGTGCTCGCCCGCTTGCCCACCCGCTCGCTCGCCCTGTCATCTGCTGGGGGTGGGGAGGACAATGACATCGCTCACCGGTGAGACCACGCTCGCCTGCTCGCTTGCCCGCTCGCTCACCCGCCCACTCTCACTCGCGCTCCCTCTCACTCGCTATCCCTCTCACTCGCTCACCCGCCCACTCTCACTCGCTATCCCTCTCACTTGCGCTCCCTCTCACTCGCTCTGCCTCTCACTCGCTCTCCCTCTCACTCGCTCTCCCGGCCACTCTCACTCGCTCTGCCTCTCACTCGCTCTCCCTCTCACTCGCTCTCCCGGCCACTCTCACTCGCTCTCCCTCTCACTCGCTCTCCCGGCCACTCTCACTCGCTCTGCCTCTCACTCGCTCTCCCTCTCACTCGCTCTCCCGCCCACTCTCACTCGCTCTCCCATTCAGTCGCTCTCCCATTCACTCGCTCTCCCACTCACCCACTCTGCCTCTCACTTGCCCTCTCACCCACTCACTCACTCGCTCTCCCATCCACCCACTCACTTTATTGCCCGCTCACTCGCTCTCCCACCCACTCACTCGCTCTGCCTCTCACTCGCTCTCCCATTCACTCGCTGTCCCACCCGCCCGCCCGCCTGCTCGCCCTCCCCACTGCGTGTCTGCGTGCGGGCGAGTCGCCGGCCACGCTGAGCGGGAAGCGATTTCCCTTCCTGGTCCCCCTCGCCCGCCCCCGCAGGGTGACCCTGGCCAAGATGAAGATCGTGAGGCCTCCAATGAGCGTCGCCCGCTACAAGATGGTCAAGCACCGTGGAGACCAGGGCAACGAGGAGAACCCGCACAGGTGCCACACAACCACAAAAACAACAACCACAACAACAACCACAACCACAACAACCACCAAAACAATCACCACAACAACAACAGTGCCTGCAACAACTATAGTGACAGCCACAACCACTGCTCCAACACCACCCATTGCCCCACCCATCCACCCGCCTACTCGCAACAACCACAACAACCCAGAACCACAGCGGCGAACCTAGCCCCACCCCCTACGCTCGACTCACGACCCCGCGACCCGTGACCCCTCCGTTGAAACCCCGTGACCCCGCCCCCGCCCCACAGGTTCACGCTGCTGGCGCACACGCGACGCATGTGGAACGTGGACGGGATGAACACGCTGTCGTACCGCCTGCTGTCACGCGTGCGCTCACCGCTCTACACCAACATCACTGTCGACATCGGCAAGGAGAAGCAGTAGCCGGCGTCCGCCGCAACCATGGCGACAGCAACCCGAAGCGACCCGGAGCGATGGCGACTACCGCAAGAACGCGGCAACGGCGGCAGCCTGCGGTGACCGCCGGCCGGGAGGGACGTGGGGCACGGACGATTCCGGCAGGGTTTCAACCGTACCGGCCGGCAAAACCCTGCCGCTAAACCGCTGAGCTTAAACCACCGTGCGCGGCTAAAGCTGTGCTGCTGAACCGTAACCCCCGAAGCGTGAACTTGAGCCGTGCGTGTGCTGAGCCCTCTCCGTCAAACCACGGCACTCAACCCTGCCGCTAAACCCTATCGCTAAACCTCAGCCAATAAACCGACCGCTAAAACCTATCGCTAAACCGACCGCTAAACCCTACTGCTAAACCTTACTGCTAAACCCTACTGCTAAACCCCTACTGCTAAACCCCTACTGCTAAACCCCTACTGCTAAACCCCTACTGCTAAACCCTACCGCTAAACCCCTACTGCTAAACCCTACTGCTAAACCCCTACTGCTAAACCCTACCGCTAAACCCTACCGCTAAACCCCTACCGCTAAACCCTACCACTAAACCCAATCACTAAACCTCATAGCTAAACCCTACCACTAAACCAAACCAGCCGCTAAACCCTACAGCGCAACTAGACTCTTGAGCCTTGCCCATATACCATACCGCTGAATCTTGGCACTAAGCCCTACAGCTAAACCGCAACGCTATACCAAACTGCTAAACCATACCCCGAAACTCTACCCAATTAACCCGAACCCCTAACCGCACACTGCTAAAGCCTGCTTGTTAGACGACACTAAAATCGCGCCCACAAAACCGAGCGCTACGGGACCCCTCCCCTAAACCACAACTCTATATAAATCCTACTGCCAAACGAGAGAGAGGCGGAGAGGGAGACCGAGAGAGAGACCGAGAGAGAGGCAGAGAGGGAGACACGCACCGCAAACTCCGTGCACTAAGAGGAGGGAGGGGAGGGGAATATCTCGCCGCCACCCACGTGCTAGACCAAATAAAAATGGGGGGCAGAGTCGAAATAATATCCCCTCGATGTCGGCTTCGGGGCCCTGGAAATGTTCCGCAGGCCGTTGGAAGAAGGCCCTCCCCCGGCGTTCCCCCCGGGCCGGTCCCTTTCACTTCTTCGCGGGCCAGGCCAACATTCGGGCCCCTTTTGGCCTCGACCACCGACCTCGATGGCCAACGTGAACTGGGCGTGTCCGCTAGTGTGAAGTGGGCGTGTCCGTTAGTGTGAACTGGGCGTGTCCGTTAGTGTGAACTGGGCGTGTCCGCTGGCGTGAACTGGGCGTGTCCGCTGGTGTGGACTGGGCGTGTCCGCTGGTGTGAACTGGGCGTGTCCGCTGGTGTGGACTGGGCGTGTCCGCTGGTGTGAGCTGGGCGTGTCCGCTGGTGTGAACTGGGCGTGTCAGCTGGTGTGGACTGGGCGTGTCCGCTGGTGTGAGCTGGGCGTGTCCGCTGGTGTGAACTAGGCGTGTCCCCTGGTGTGAACTGGGCGTGTCCCCTGGTGTGAACTGGGCGTGTCCGCTGGTGTGAACTGGGCGTGTCCTCTGGTGTGAACTGGGCGTGTCCGCTGGTGTGAACTGGGCGTGTCCGCTGGTGTGAACTGGGCGTGTCCGCTAGTGAACTGGGCGTGTCCGCTAGTGAACTGGGCGTGTCCGCTGGTGTGAACTGGGCGTGTCCGCTGGTGTGAACTGGGCGTGTCCGCTGGCGTGAACTGGGCGTGTCCGCTAGTGTGAAGTGGGCGTGTCCCCTGGTGTGGACTGGGCGTGTCCGCTAGTGTGAACTGGGCGTGTCCGCTAGTGAACTGGGCGTGTCCGCTGGCGTGAACTGGGCGTGTCCGCTGGTGTGAACTGGGCGTGTCCTCTGGTGTGATCTGGGCGTGTCCGCTGGTGTGAACTGGGCGTGTCCGCTAGTGAACTGGGCGTGTCCGCTAGTGAACTGGGCGTGTCCTCTGGTGTGATCTGGGCGTGTCCGCTAGTGTGAACTGGGCGTGTCCTCTGGCGTGAACTGGGCGTGTCCTCTGGTGTGATCTGGGCGTGTCCACTATTGAACTGGGCGTGTCCGCTGGTGCGAACTGGGCGTGTCCGCTAGTGTGAACTGGGCGTGTCCGCTGGTGGGAACTGGGCGTGTCCGCTATTGTGAACTGGGCGTGTCCGCTAGTGAACTGGGCGTGTCCGCTATTGTGAACTGGGCGTGTCCGCTGGTGGGAACTGGGCGTGTCCGCTAGCGTGAACTGGGCGTGTCCGCTAGTGAACTGGGCGTGTCCGCTAGCGTGAACTGGGCGTGTCCGCTGGTGGGAACTGGGCGTGTCCGCTGGTGGGAAACTGGGCGTGTCCGCTGGTGTGAACTGGGCTCGTCCGCTAGTGAACTGGGCGTGTCCGCTGGTGTGAACTGGGCGTGTCCGCTAGTGTGAACTGGGCGTGTCTGCTAGTGTGAACTGGGCGTGTCTGCTAGTGAACTGGGCGTGTCCGCTGGTGTGAACTGGGTGTGTCCGCTATTGTGAACTGGGCGTGTCCGCTAGTGTGAACTGGGCGTGTCCGCTAGTGTGAACTGGGCGTGTCCGCTAGTGTGAACTGGGCGTGTCCGCTATTGTGAACTGGGCGTGTCCGCTGGTGGGAACTGGGCGTGTCCGCTAGCGTGAACTGGGCGTGTCCGCTAGTGAACTGGGCGTGTCCGCTAGCGTGAACTGGGCGTGTCCGCTGGTGGGAACTGGGCGTGTCCGCTGGTGGGAACTGGGCGTGTCCGCTGGTGTGAACTGGGCTCGTCCGCTAGTGAACTGGGCGTGTCCGCTGGTGTGAACTGGGCGTGTCCGCTAGTGTGAACTGGGCGTGTCTGCTAGTGTGAACTGGGCGTGTCTGCTAGTGAACTGGGCGTGTCCGCTGGTGTGAACTGGGTGTGTCCGCTATTGTGAACTGGGCGTGTCCGCTAGTGTGAACTGGGCGTGTCCGCTAGTGTGAACTGGGCGTGTCTGCTAGTGTGAGCTGGGCGTGTCCTCTGGTGTGAACTGGGCGTGTCCTCTGGTGTGAACTGGGCGTGTCCGCTAGTGAACTGGGCGTGTCCGCTAGTGTGAACTGGGCGTGTCTGCTAGTGTCAACTGGGCGTGTCCACTATTGAACTGGGCGTGTCCGCTGGTGTGAACTGGGCGTGTCCGCTGGTGTGAACTGGGCGTGTCCGCTGGGTGGACTCGAGCGGACCAGAGTCCTGGCCCTGTCACTCGCGGCGGTCGCGGGTCAAGCAAATCGGTTTAACGTCACCAGGGCCATCGTTGCCGTCGTACCTGGGTGGCGAGGGGGGGGGGGGTGGCGAGGGTGGGTGGGGGGTAGGGGGGGTTGGTGGGGGGTAAGGGGAGATGGGTGGGGGGTAGGGGGGGGCGGGCGGGGGGGGGTAAGTTTCTTAAACACACGATCACCGCTCTCCCAATCGGCGCACGAATATTTATTTATTTATTAACGATTTCAAACTCAGCTTAAGGGCGGGCCTCGCCCGCAAAGCACTTTGTTCACGGTAAGATGCTTGCTCACCGATGCAAGCTTATAGAGAGAAATATACTAATGTGTATATGTGTGTGAAATGTACTAATGTGTGTGTGTCCTGTATACTGCAGCAGTCCCAAACATTTTTGGCACCAGGGATCGGTTTTAGTGGAAGACAATTTAATTTATTCACGGACCCGGGTGGGGGGCGGGGCGGGGTGGGGGGAGGTCATCATTGGGTCTTTTTTTTTTTAAAGACGTTTCTTTGTTACTCATTGTGGCTACTCGGGGGTTAGAGCTTTTGTGGGCCTCATAACCAGCACCACGTGACCGAGACTGAGTGCGCAGTGCGGGAAAGAGGCGCGCGGACGGAAGTGGCGAATAATAAAAACAATGGTGGGGGCGGGTAGGCCACGTGATCGGACTCGCCGCTCTCGCCACCTCCTCCTGCCGCTGCCGCTGTTGCTGCTGCTGCTGCTGCCCCGGTTCCTAACAGGCCGTGGACCGGTACCGGGGGGTTGAGAACCACACGCTTGTATCGAGAGAGAGAGAGAGAGGGGGAGCGGTGGTGCAGCGGTTGGCTTCGCTGCGCTACGAGCCCGACGACCCGCGCTCGATTCGCCGCTCGCACGCGGCCCCCGGGGTGGCCCTTCGTGACGAAACCAAAAAAAAATTGTTCCGGGGTACTTGAAGCGTTACTCGCTAATTGTTTATGCCTCAAACGTGCGGAAAAGTGGACGTTGTTCCCCTCGCGCAAACTTCCGCGTTTGTCACCGGGACAGTGATATTTTTTTTAAACGCCATTCCTTCACGTCAACGCCTGGTCACAACAAAGCCCCCAATTGTGCGTACTTTTGAGGCGTACGCATTTATAAAATAACACTTTACTACCCAGGAACAAGGATCGCGTTACACAGCGTTATGTGAACCCGGTCGTGGGGCGCGCCCTCCCCCTAGGTCGACTCGGCCTCAAGCGGGTACCCGGTGCGGTGTTTGTGTGTGGTGGTGAAGCGTCGCCGCCGTGGGGAGACAAAGGCGGCCGGGCGTGGTGTTGGCCCCACCCACCAGTCCCTCGTGTGAAGTTCCCGGCCTTCACGGGGGGTGCTCGCTAACAGCCACTGGCGGAGCCAGTTGGGGGGGGGGAGCGGGGGGCACGTACCCCCCCCCCCCCAATGATCAAATCGAAATCCCTAATTTCGATCGGATCATTGGGGTTTTATTAGTAATAAAATCGGCATTTTGCGACCGTGTAGCATGTTATTATTATTGTCACGTGCCAGGGACTCTATGAGATGATAGGATAATAGTCTGAGTCCATAATTGGCAATAAGTAACGGCAAAGCGGTAATAAGCGACTCAGAATTGTGCGCGGTTGCGTCTACAGAGTCCACGACTTCCCTGAAGGCATCGACAACTCCTCACTTACAACTCCTTACTAACAACTCCTTACTTACTAACAACTACTTACTAACAACTCCTTACTTACTAACAACTACTTACTAACAACTCCTTACTTACTAACAACTCCTTACTAACAACACCTTGCTTACTAGCAACTCTTACTAACAACTCCTTACTTACTCACAACTCCTTACTTACTAACAACTCCTTACTAACAACTCCTTACTTACCAACAACCCCTTACTAACTAACAACTCCTTACTAACAACTCCTTACTCACTAACAACTCCTTACTTACTAACAACTCCTTACTAACAACTCCTTGCTCACTAACAACTCCTTACTTACTAACAACCCCTTACTCACTAACGACTCCTTACTAACAACTCCTTACTCACTAACAACTCCTTACTAACAACCCCTTACTCATTAGCAACTCCTTACTAACAACTCCTTACTAACACTCCTTACTAACAACTCCTTACTAACAACTCCTTACTAACAACTCTTTATTTACTAACAACTCTTTATTTACTAACAACTCCTTACTAACAACTCCTTACTCACTAACAACTCCTTACTAACTCCGTACTAACAACTCCTCTTTCATTTTTTATTGCTGGAGGGGCTGCCCCCCCCACACCTGAAAATTCTGGCTCCGCCATCGCTAACAGCGCCTGTCTCCAACAGCCTGTTGCAGCTATACGGGGGGGGGGGAATGGGGGTCTTTGTATATATATAGCTAGAGAGAGAGAGAGACACGTGTATGTATATAGTTTGTAAAAGTGAATCGCAACTGCTTATCAGTGGTGGCGGTGGGGTGGGAGGTTGGATTCGAATCCAGGGTTCGGATGCGGCCACTGTTCCACTAGGCCCATCATCATCATCACTTCCTCGAGGGTCGCTAAATATGAGTACCGATTTGTTGTGGAAGTCAAACGCCGGTTTTTGACTCGGGGGCTCCCCCCCACCCACTCTCCTTACCCCCAGCGTCATGGGAATGTGGAATTTCCACCACTGGCGCGGCAGGGCTGTGAACTCAAAAAGAGTCTTTAATGCTGTTCCAAATGTGCCCGATGTTAATCGCCTTTTTGTATTCGGTCGACCGCCGATTTAGTGAAGCAGTTTCTTAACCTGGGGGTCCATCACGCCTCCTTCTGGGGGGGCATCACGCCACCTTCTGGGGGTGTCAGATGTCCTTTGTGGGGGTGCCAGATGCCCTTTTATGGGGGTGTCAGATGCCCTTTATGGGGGTGTCAGATGCCCTTTTATGGGGGTGTCACATGCCCTTTTATGGGGGTGTCAGATGCCCTTTCTGGGGGTGTCAGATGCCCTTTTATGGGGGTGTCAGATGCCCTTTATGGGGGTGTCAGATGCCCTTTTATGGGGGTGTCACATGCCCTTTTATGGGGGTGTCAGATGCCCTTTCTGGGGGTGTCAGATGCCCTTTATGGGGGTGTCAGATGCCCTTTTATGGGGGTGTCAGATGTCCTTTTCTGGGGGTGTCAGATGCCCTTTTCTGGGGGTGTCAGATGCCCTTTATGGGGGTGTCAGATGTCCTTTTATGGGGGTGTCAGATGTCCTTTATGGGGGTGTCAGATGTCCTTTTATGGGGGTGTCAGATGCCCTTTTATGGGGGTGTCAGATGTCCTTTATGGGGGTGTCAGATGTCCTTTATGGGGGTGTCAGATGCCCTTTATGGGGGTGTCAGATGCCCTTTATGGGGGTGCCAGATGCCCTTTATGGGGGTGCCAGATGCCTTTCTGGGGGTGTCAGATGCCTTTATGGGGGTGCCAGATGCCCTTTATGGGGGTGTCAGATGCCTTTCTGGGGGTGTCATGCCCTTTTATGGGGGTGCCAGATGTCCTTTATGGGGGTGCCAGATGTCCTTTATGGGGGTGTCATGCCCTTTTATGGGGGTGCCAGATGTCCTTTATGGGGGTGCCAGATGTCCTTTATGGGTGTGTCAGATGCCCTTTTATGGGGGTGCCAGATGTCCTTTTATGGGGGTGCCAGATGTCCTTTTATGGGGGTGCCAGATGTCCTTTTATGGGGGTGTCAGATGTCCTTTATGGGGGTGCCAGATGTCCTTTCTGGAGGTGTCAGATGCCCTTTTATGGGGTTGCTTGCGAGAGACGCGGACAGATGTTTTTCATTCGAAGGTCAATAATCGAAAACACAAATGAAAGCAAGGGGGGGCAGACAAGTACAGCAACTTTGTTTAATCAAATCCCCGATGTATTTATGAATAACATTGTCCTTTTTTTGTGTTGGCGATTGAGAAACCAAAGGGGCTCCAAAGTAAAAGGTTCAGAACCCCCACTGGATTATAGCGAAGTCGTGTGCGTGTGTGTGTGTCAGGGCAAGTGTGTAGGCTATACGGGGGGTGGGTGGGAGCTTTGTCTTTGTGCCTGTGTGTGTGTGTCTGTGCCTCTCTGTGTCA